TGCGGATCTGATGAACGTCAATTTAATATTTTTTAAGACCAAGCAAAGAAAATTGAAATGAACGTAATACATCAGTATGGACTCTAAATGTGAATGTCTTGCTTTAAAGTGTGAAGAGACCTCTTCCTGCAGATCTCAGAGTAGCTTTTCATTAATTTGACAAAAAAGAAACAACAAAAATATCTCGTGATTTAAGGATGCTTGGATTGGAAACAACACAAAAGCACTAAGAATTATTTTTTTGCAGTACGCGCTACATTTAATACCAATGATTTTATGAATTTAGACTTCTGCTCTGATTTAAGATCATTTTAGGCTTCGTTTATCAGATTTTTAACACCTAATGGCTTCTCTGGTTGTTTCCGTTCACTCGCAGCCACCAAACAGACCTTCTAGTCGTATTACTACGTGATATTTAGGGACATAAATACATCACAGGCAATTTCCTTTTAGTGTTTAACATCACCCAGGCTTCCTGATTCACAGCCGCTTCACTCTGTTCGACTGATTAGCAATAATACACACATCACCGGCAAGCATGAGGTTACGTTTATTAATCATCTGCAGCACTAATGCAGCTTTAAGACGTTCCAAGCGTTACGAGAGAATCCCAGATACGGACAGAAGACGGCTGGAGAGAGGAAAACACAGTTACAGGAACATCAGGCTCATTTCTCTCTAGTCATAGTTTTCAGTCATGTGACTGGCTCTGTTTCACTCCACAAATATTCAGATCACCTATAAAACAAAGATATGTGAACGAAATGCAAGTTTTGGCCATTAGCAATCCATATAAAGCACCTGCCGCAATACTACTGAAAACAGCAGGACATTCTAAAACGCTTAAAGTGCCTTTAAAACAGATCAAATTCAGTACACCGTATTGCTGATAACCAGATGAGCTCGGAATATGAACGCATGAAGTGTTTGCTTATGGGAAAACATTTAATGTGTATCTTTGTGCATTGCATTTATATTCTGGGTTCATCTGCTTGCCTGTGCAGAGTCTGCATCATCAATAAGGTGTGTACTGAATTTGGCCTTTAAAGGGACAGTTCACCTAAAAATGATAATTAGCCCATGGTTTACTCACCGTCAGGCCATCCTAGCTGTGTATGACTTTCTTCTTTCAGACGAATACAATCGGAGTTATATTTAAAAACGTCCAGGCTCTTCCAAGCCTTATAATGGCAGTGAATGGGTGTTTTTTTGTCAATGGGCTAATTTTCATTTTTGGGTGAACTGTCCCTTTAAATATCAATGCCTTACGACATCACTAGTTAATGAAAACCTCGTAAAAATAACTGGCGGTCAGTGGAGGAAAGCCTTGTTCTGCCCTGTGGGCATTCGTGTGACGTCGCGTGAAAACTATGAATCGTGCCATAAATAACAGCAAAAAGCCCAAAAAATAAAACTGCCCGAAAGGTTCTGGAAACTTCTATAGTGAACATGCATTTATTACTCTAAAAGAGAGTACTTTAAACTTAGAAACTTCAGTTTAGTAGAATCAGATTATTTCAAAAATTCAATTATATTAAACTGACTTTTGAAAATTGAGTTGAATCTTGTGTAACTAAAAAAATTAAGTTGAAATTGGTTAAATAAAATAAAAAACATAAAGAAATAATTAAACATTAAGTAAAAAATTAATGAAATGAAAAATTAAAATGTATTTAAATTTGATCAGTTAAAGTAATAAAACAATAAATCAATTTATACAGTGTATTAAATGAATGAAGCTATAAAATTCTTATCCTGTAATCATGAACGACTGGAAGAGTAATGCAGATGAAGTGGTCCAGAAATGTGTGAATCCTGAATTAACTTCAGTTTTTAGCTGTATGTGTGTGTTCATGTGTGTGAGCATCTGCACGCACCTCGAATACGTCGTCCAGACGCGCCGCAAACGTTCCTCAGCTTCTCTAAGAGAAAGACACGTGTTACTCACAAACACTGCTGTAATAATAACACAATAACAGCCCTGCATCACATGTGCTCAATCAAACCCAGCGCGTGTTTCTGACTGATTCCTAAAACACTGTCTGGGTGTTTGTGTTGCCCAAAGTGTGCCCTAGCGAGTGCAGGTGGGAGTTCCCTTGAAAGGGAACATTTGTTACTTGGAATAAAGGCAATTTAAACTACAGTAATTTAAAATGTAAAAAAAACTTGTTTTAGTTCAGCTAGTCGTCACGGCGATGTTTCTAAAACTGGACTAAAACAATAAAAACTATGGGCATATTTAAAGAAAACAAAAACTAATACAAATAACAAATACAACAAAATGACTACAATTTGAATTAAAATTAAAATGTTAAAATACTGATAAAAACTATAACAGTTTCTCAATATGATACTAAAATAACACTGGTTTTACTGCATCCAAACAGTGATAGAAAATGACAGATTTTGACGGAAAAAAAGATTATTTGTCTTTAAACTTGTGTTTATGTAAATGCTTTGACATTGAATGGAGTATCTGAGCATATTTTTCCTCTCCTTTGCAGATTGTAAGTTACATGATGTATCTGGAATACTTATTTTCGTGACTCAAACAAACTTTTGACATCTCCCTGCTTTTGATATTTTGATAAGTGCATTAAAGCCGATACACGGGTCAAAGACAAAAAAGGGTTTCAGCATAAAAACAATGCTGCTTTAAATTGTTGTTTTTCCAAATTTTAGAAAAAGTTAAAAAATGTAAAAGTTTTCTTTCACGTAATTGTATTTTTGTTTTTGGTTTTCTGAGCAAAAAATAAATATGATAGATTTTCGCCTGATTTACAGAAGAGAGCCACTAAAACGTCATTCAGTGTGACAATCTTGTCAGGCATATTTACAACAAAAATCCATTTATGACTAATTACTTTCTCCCCAAACACTAATTAGTTGTAATTTTAAGTTTTTTAAATGTGCCACTATCCTAGCTTTTGCCCATTTGTCAGTAAGAATTTTTTACTAATTTAAAACCCAATAGAATTGAATATGCTCACTTATTCTTTTATATATTTTAATGTGTACAGGTCAAAATAAGCATGTTGTCTGAATTTTTACATAACTGTAAGTGTTACACTGAATGACAATGTAACATTATTTCAACCAAATTGTAAGATTGTATCCTCCAAAAACTTATTTGAAACCTTAAAAGTAGATACTTTATTAACATTTAATGTGCTTTCTGTGGACATATAATCACTTTTGTACATTTCTTTTGATGCGGACATCTTAACGTCTTTGACCCACATCTTCATTCTTATTTTGGAAAGTTTATATTGATATTTTTAACCCAGCATCATTTTTTTTTTGCACATCGGCAGAGTTAGTTTTAAGATGCGGGCTATCGTTCTGATCATCTCCAGCTTTCACATCTTCTGATCAATAAGAGGAACAGAGAGAGCACGCTTCCACGCACCTGCTGCTTCTTCCTGCGCAGAGAGAGCTTCGGCGAGAGACGCATGAGCGGATGAACCGAGTGAGACTGAGAATCAAACATTCACATATTCATACACATATCAGGGAATATGCATTAAAGACAGAATCCGGTGAGATGTTCATACCTCTCTCTCGACGGAGCCGACGGAGTTGTGTGCTTTAGAATAGTGAAAGAGAAACTGAAGAGCAGAGGAGACGGTCAGAGAGCACACAGCCGTCTGTCTGATCTATGTGATGTGTGAGTGAGATCTTACCCTCTTGAAGACATGCTGGATCTGCTCCTGAAGAGACACAGGTGAGAGAGTTCAGACGCGCTCGTGATGAGAGAGCTAACACCAGACACACGCACACGCGTGTGAACGCCACTCACCTGCTCCTGATTCCTCCACTGCGCTCCACACAGAGTGCTTAACAGAGCCGAGCCCTGCAACACAGACAAACACTCATAAAACACACACAGAGACAAGTGCACTTCAAACTATACACACAGGATAATTATATATATATACTGGTGGTCAAACGTTTGGAATAATTAGGATTTTTTAATGAAAGAAGTCTCTTCTGCTCAGCAAGGCTGCGTTTATTTGATTAAAAAATACAGTAAAAACAGTGAAATATTATTAGAATCTAAAACAGCTGTTTTCTATGTGAATCTCTGTTAAACTGTAATGTATTTCTGTGATGCGCAGCTGTATCTTCAGCATCATTACTCCAGTCTTTAGTGTCACATGATCTTCAGAAATTCTGATTTGCTGCTCAACAAACATTTCTGATTATTATCAATGTTGAAAACAGTTAATAATTCTAAACGTTTGATCATCAGTGTATAAATAGATAGATAGATAGATAGATAGATAGACAATTATAAAACAATAAACAAGCCAAAAATCAATCAATCATGTCTTCTCATACCTGAATATAATCTCCATAATCATCACAATCTGTCAGTGGATTTGGATAGCTTTCTGTAATCATAAATACAAAGTCAATTATTTATTAACTTACTAATTTATTGATTCATATTCACTATAAGATACTGTAATATATATATATATATGTGACCCTGGAGGACAAAACCAGTCATAAGGGTCAATTTTTTGAAATTGAGATGTATGCATCATCTGAAAGCTGAATAAATAAGCTTTCCATTGGTGTATGGTTTGTTAGGATAGGACAATATTTGAAAATCTGGAATCTGAGGGTGCAAAAAAACCTAAATATTGAGAAAATCATCTTTAAAGTTGTTCAAATGAAGTTCTTAGCAATGCATATTACTAATCAAAAATTAAGTTTTGATATATTTACGGTAGGAAACTTACAAAATATCTTCATGGAACATGATCTTTACTTAATATCCCAATGATTTTTGGCATAAAAGAGAAATGTATAATTCTGACCCATACAATGTATTGTTGGCTATTGCTACAAATATACCCCAGCGACTTAACACTGCTTTTGTGCTGCAGGGTCATATTTGTATATATATCAGACTCAGAGATATCCTTCTCCGAAAACCATAAAGAACCATAAAAATCCATCATAACTTGGAAACAACCTTAAATGATTCCTAAGGGAATCTTTTAAAAAGGATTTGATGAAAATTCAAGAACAACTAGATTCAGATATTACCAGTTTTTATAAGTATATACTAGTTTTAGACACAAGAGACACGTGATGATGAAAACAACAGAGCCACAGGATCCTGAAATTAAAACCTTTGGGATTCATTCATCTCTAAATAGTGACGTTTCTGAAAATACTCAATAGAAAATCAAATAAGAATGAAATTTCATCCATATAGGATCCTTGAGGATTAATTCTACATGATTCTCGAATTTCAACAGGAACCCTGTACTACCTAGCCTACATTATACTTTGAGAGTCACTAGTAAAGCTGATGAACTAGCTGTCTAAAACTGGTCACACAGATGAAGTGGACATGCATGTCTAACTAACATGTAAGTGAGGTTACTCACCTCCAGCCGAGCAGAAGCTGCTGATCAAACAAACTAAAGAGCAGAAGAGAGCAAACACACTCCCGCTCGCGCTGCCCATGTCCGCACTAGTTAGTGAGCGCCGCTGGAACTAGTGAGCTAGTGAACTAGTGAGCTGAGCTGGTGCTGATGCGGGAGGCTCTCAGAACAGCTGACCAATCAACACCGAGAGCGCATCGTTACCAGAGCGCGCGCTGCTCAGGGGTTCCACCCTCTTAATTAGGACTCGACGTGACGTCACAACACAGGGCTGGTGCTGTTAGAAGTGCATCACGGAGACGTCTGCGTTACATCTGCATTACATCTGCAGGACGTGTTTTATACACTGTTTGCTCATCTGCAATACTCTATAGTCTAAATGTAAATGTCAGGGCAAAGCATTCTTAAAGTAAAGCTTACAGAATGTCTGACAACTTGATTCATATTTCTCATACTTTATTAGATGTTCTTAAAATGTTCTCGGAAATGTCCTTATGACCTTATTTGTTCTTGATGGATATCTTCATGTCACCTTTAAATAACATTATAGGATCATGATAAGAAAACTGGACGTTTTAACGTCAAATAACATTGTATTTGGGGCAAAAATAAAGTTCGTAGAATGTTGTAAGAGACATTTTAGCCACCTTTAAAGCGGAGGTCTAATGCTATTTCATGCACTCTGACTTATTTACACACATGACGGAGTATTTCTGTGCCAAACACACTCCTTCAGGGTTTGTAGAAGTGAGTTTGGTCCTGTCTGACGTCATAAAGGGCGGAATTCCTTATATGGGCACTTCTGAGCAAAGAGAGAAGCTAAAGCTGTATCTGTCTTTTATAAATCTGACCAAACTAAAGACTCTTCTGAGAAATGAAGGATGCAGTACTACTCTAGGTGCTCAAGATTAACACGAGACTGGCAGAAACTGTGTGTGTTATGTCTGCTTTAAATAACATTATAACCATGAAAGAAAATTGGGCATTTCTAGAAACATTTCAAAACAAATGTTTTTGTTGCATGCGGTCTTGCCTCAAAATTTTTTTCTTGATTACATACGAATGTTAATGCAACATTTTGCAAACAATGTTACTTTTGAATGCTCTCTGAAAGTTCTGAAACAAGTAACATTTTAAAAAACGTTAGATGAACGTCCGACTAAAATGTTTCAGAAATTAAACATTCCATGAACGATGTATAAATAATAAAGTTTTCGTGTTAACTTTGAATGAACGTTCTGTTAACATCACAGTTTGTTCACAAGTTTGAGAGAGCGTTTCGATTCAAGAGTTAGTTGACACGTCAGGCGGTGTAAACTATTTTTTTTACAAATAATGTCTTTATTAATCACTTCAAAATTTTGGTGTTTAAAAACTCCTGTATACTGTACACTGTAAATATTTTGATTAATCATGATTTCACTTTTTTATCTTCTAATCAACTTAGATTCATTAATGTTATTCAGATAACATTACATTTTGTGTTTCAATCTCTTTCTTTGCATTAACTCAAATGTGTGTGTGTGTGTCTGTGTGTGTGTGTGAGTGAGTGCGAGTGTGTGTGTGAGTGAGCGTGCGTGAGTGTGAGTGTGTGTGTGTGTGTGTGTGTGTGTGAGAGAGTGAGTGAGTGAGTGAGAGTGTGAGTGTTTGAGAGTGTGTGTGTGTGAGTGAGTGAGTGAGTGTGAGAGTGTGTGAGTGTGTGTGTGAGTGTAAGAGTGTGTGTATGTGTGAGAGTGTGTGAGTGTGAGCACGTGTGTGAGAGTGTGTGAGTGTGAGCACGTGTGTGAGAGTGTGTGAGTGTGAGCACGTGTGTGAGAGTGTGTGAGTGTGAGCACGTGTGTGAGAGTGTGTGAGTGTGAGCACGTGTGTGAGAGTGTGTGAGTGTGAGCACGTGTGTGAGAGTGTGTGAGTGTGAGCACGTGTGTGAGAGTGTGTGAGTGTGAGCACGTGTGTGAGAGTGTGTGAGTGTGAGCACGTGTGTGAGAGTGTGTGAGTGTGAGCACGTGTGTGAGAGTGTGTGAGTGTGAGCACGTGTGTGAGAGTGTGTGAGTGTGAGCACGTGTGTGAGAGTGTGTGAGTGTGAGCACGTGTGTGAGAGTGTGTGAGTGTGAGCACGTGTGTGAGAGTGTGTGAGTGTGAGCACGTGTGTGAGAGTGTGTGAGTGTGAGCACGTGTGTGAGAGTGTGTGAGTGTGAGCACGTGTGTGAGAGTGTGTGAGTGTGAGCACGTGTGTGAGAGTGTGTGAGTGTGAGCACGTGTGTGAGAGTGTGTGAGTGTGAGCACGTGTGTGAGAGTGTGTGAGTGTGAGCACGTGTGTGAGAGTGTGTGAGTGTGAGCACGTGTGTGAGAGTGTGTGAGTGTGAGCACGTGTGTGAGAGTGTGTGAGTGTGAGCACGTGTGTGAGAGTGTGTGAGTGTGAGCACGTGTGTGAGAGTGTGTGAGTGTGAGCACGTGTGTGAGAGTGTGTGAGTGTGAGCACGTGTGTGAGAGTGTGTGAGTGTGAGCACGTGTGTGAGAGTGTGTGAGTGTGAGCACGTGTGTGAGAGTGTGTGAGTGTGAGCACGTGTGTGAGAGTGTGTGAGTGTGAGCACGTGTGTGAGAGTGTGTGAGTGTGAGCACGTGTGTGAGAGTGTGTGAGTGTGAGCACGTGTGTGAGAGTGTGTGAGTGTGAGCACGTGTGTGAGAGTGTGTGAGTGTGAGCACGTGTGTGAGAGTGTGTGAGTGTGAGCACGTGTGTGAGAGTGTGTGAGTGTGAGCACGTGTGTGAGAGTGTGTGAGTGTGAGCACGTGTGTGAGAGTGTGTGAGTGTGAGCACGTGTGTGAGAGTGTGTGAGTGTGAGCACGTGTGTGAGAGTGTGTGAGTGTGAGCACGTGTGTGAGAGTGTGTGAGTGTGAGCACGTGTGTGAGAGTGTGTGAGTGTGAGCACGTGTGTGAGAGTGTGTGAGTGTGAGCACGTGTGTGAGAGTGTGTGAGTGTGAGCACGTGTGTGAGAGTGTGTGAGTGTGAGCACGTGTGTGAGAGTGTGTGAGTGTGAGCACGTGTGTGAGAGTGTGTGAGTGTGAGCACGTGTGTGAGAGTGTGTGAGTGTGAGCACGTGTGTGAGAGTGTGTGAGTGTGAGCACGTGTGTGAGAGTGTGTGAGTGTGAGCACGTGTGTGAGAGTGTGTGAGTGTGAGCACGTGTGTGAGAGTGTGTGAGTGTGAGCACGTGTGTGAGAGTGTGTGAGTGTGAGCACGTGTGTGAGAGTGTGTGAGTGTGAGCACGTGTGTGAGAGTGTGTGAGTGTGAGCACGTGTGTGAGAGTGTGTGAGTGTGAGCACGTGTGTGAGAGTGTGTGAGTGTGAGCACGTGTGTGAGAGTGTGTGAGTGTGAGCACGTGTGTGAGAGTGTGTGAGTGTGAGCACGTGTGTGAGAGTGTGTGAGTGTGAGCACGTGTGTGAGAGTGTGTGAGTGTGAGCACGTGTGTGAGAGTGTGTGAGTGTGAGCACGTGTGTGAGAGTGTGTGAGTGTGAGCACGTGTGTGAGAGTGTGTGAGTGTGAGCACGTGTGTGAGAGTGTGTGAGTGTGAGCACGTGTGTGAGAGTGTGTGAGTGTGAGCACGTGTGTGAGAGTGTGTGAGTGTGAGCACGTGTGTGAGAGTGTGTGAGTGTGAGCACGTGTGTGTGTGTGTGAGTGTGTGTGTGAGTGTGAGCAAGTGTGTGTGAGTGTCCAGGTTACATACTTTTTAGGTTAAACCAACAGTAACGTGTTACATGTATAGGGACAGAAACAACTTAGGCTGCAACAGAAATGTCTTGACATTTTTAACCCACAACAATCGTGTAACTTTCCACTTTCCAAGGGAATATGTCGCCTCTGTTTTTTATTCTGTTTACTGGTCTGCTAAATTGTAGGGGATTCAGTGTCTAAATATAAAGGTGTGTCGTTTGTCTGTGTCCTGCATTTATGTAATGGAAAGAGAAAAAGCTGCAAAGGAAATCACTGAGACTATATATAACCAGCACAGCCTCGCTGGACATTAGAGAGGTGAAATAACACATGCACCTGTTTCAGACAATCAGCACAATGATGTTGATGTTTTGACCAGTGGCACAAATCACTTTGAAATCAAGATTAGAGTAATATATAGATTCAGCACGCTACTGGAGCTGGTTAATCTATCGCAGATTGAACGCACTGGTTCCGCCGCTGACTGTGCTTCCAGTGTTTTGTCTTTGATGCATCAATAACGAATTACACAGTGGATTACGGTGTTACCGGCAGCTGAGCAGAGACGAGACCCATGTGACATTCACCTTTTTCCACTTACACAGGGCTTTACTCAGCTCATTTATGACTTGCCTCCCGTGCACCGGAGACCTTCAGCTAACTGTGGCCGTGGGTATATTCATAATTGGGTTTTATTAGCTGAAACCTTATTGGATTATAATCGTTCAGAAGGCATCACTCATTTGTGTGTCTGACCGTCTCACTGACTATTTGCTTTCAGAAATTTATAGAGTTAATAACTTGCACATTAAAGACAAGCTGTAGTGAGTTAAAGGGACCGATGGTGTGGACAATAACTAGAATGTGTTCTTCAAGTTTTTTCTTTATCTATTTGCAGATAAAAACATATTAGGTGTTGTTGTGATATATGAACACACATGAATGCAGTCACGTCTTGTTTTCTTCATGCACTGGTCAGTTTTGAGGGCTATTGTGCTTCCAAATCAAGTCTCTTCTTTCAGACTAGTGGAAAGAAAACATCCACAATACACATTTAAGGGTTTCTTTTATTGCACTTTATCTATCTGCGTCTGTACATTTCAATCTTTAAAGAGTTTTTTCTCTTACAAACACCAAACTTTACAGTTTTATTCCTCTCTATATTCTGTAGGTTTGTACATATTTCACTCACACTGATTTATACAACATTTTACTCCTGAAAACATGGTTAAGATGTGTTTTCCGTCTGTTGACAGTATTTTCTGATTTATGGAGCGATGAAAAGAGAAATCCACAATCCCCTCTGGAAAAACCTTTAACATGTCAACAAAATCAAACAAGAATTTGAACCTGACTTTATCTAATGTTCAGATTT